GTCTTTGATCCAAGTTAAAGCTTCCTTGAGAGCCAAAGCCTCGGCCATAAGCGGGTTCAAACAGAAATTGAGTTTACCATTGATAGCCTTCACAAAATTACCGCCCGGTTCATACAAAACGAATCCAAAAGTCGCTTCCTTTGTGTCCGACTTAAAACCACCATCGATGTAACACGTAAATGCATCATGTCGTCTTTGCGGAGGGTGTCTGCGTCTTCTTTGCTGCATAGGATTGTTCCATGTCTGGCACCAAGCTTCCACCATGCATTTTGCTGTCTTCCAACACCCTGCAACAGACGGAACCCAACCTTCCCACACTGCTTTATTCCTCGTTGTCTAGATAGAGTAAATGATCGCCGCTGCAACCTGCCGACCCCTTTGATCTAGCCTCTGCAGCCACTGTTCACCCCACTCTGCCGTCGAGCTCGAGGAATTGGAGACAACTGTAAGACCGCCCCACTGCCACAGTTGTTGCGCGAAGGCACAGTCTCAAAACAGATGCAGCGTCGTCTCTTCTACAACTCCACAGACTGGACACATGGGGTCCACTGCCACCCTCCTAACCAACAGGTTAGACTTCGTAGGGAGAATCTCCGAGAACAGCCGCCACAAGAGGTTCTTCCACCGTGGTGGAATATTCAAATTCCAGAGTAAATTCCAATGGGAGAACTGATAATTGAGGGCAGAAACCTCTCCACGCAACTGTCTGTATCCACTTTTCACAGTATAATCACCATGAACGTCTCCGGGCCAGACCCAATCATCCTCTAAATCTGGAGAAAAGGGGATATTCTGAATAAACTCGCACTCCCCCTGCGGAAAAAACTCATGCAGACAGTCAATATCCCAACTACCCGAGTTAGGATCTCTCAATTGGTCCACCCTAACATCTGGTAGATAAGTAGGTTTGGGGGTTTGAATCCACGGATTTTCCGCACCACAAAGCCAAGGATGTCCCCAAACCAAAGTATCCTTACCATTACCAATGCGCCTGAGAGCCTTAGACCGGATAAAGTCATGGGTCGCCATAATACTCCTCCAGATGAAACTTGGGTTCGGACCCATTTTCGCTGCCAAAAAATCAGATTGAGGGAAATATATTGCTTTAAAAATTCGAGCCGCTAGAGAAGCAGGGTGTTTTAAAAACCTCCAACCTTGTTTAGTTAAAAGAGCTAAGTTAAAGGTATGAAGGTCCTAAAAACCCAATCCTCCACATTTCTTTGGCACACACATCTTGTCCCATGCTAACCAATGGATTCCGCCGTCATTAGAACTACCATTATTCCACCAGAACTGGTTCATACACCTTTGAATAGAGGAGCACAGAGAATCCGGCAATAAGAAGACACTCATCGCATAAATGGGAAGAGCTTGGGCCACTGTCTTCAAAAGAATCTCTTTCCCTGCTTTGGAGAGAAACTTCTTATGCCACCCAGTGATACGCTGTGACACTTTCTCCTCGATGTATGAAAAAACCAACTTCTTGTTCCTTCCAATGAAGGAGGGCAAACTAAGGTACTTGCCAAAGTCACTCGCTTCATTAACCTGCAAAAACTGTGCAACCTCATGACGTACCTCGGGACGAGTGTTCTTGCTAAAACATATGTTTGACTTTTGAAAATTGACCGCCTGCCCCGATAAACGTTCATAGATAGCCAGGCAATTCTTAATCACTTCTGCTTCCTGCAAGTTAGCTTTAAAGAAAAGGAGACTATCATCTGCGAAAAATAAGTGAGATATTGGAGGTGCCCCCCTCGCCACAATGCACCCGTGAATAGTTTTAAGAGCTTGTTCTCTTTGGAAAAGCAAGGAAAGTCCTTCCGCACAAATGATGAAGAGGTAAGGGGACAGAGGATCCCCATGTCTTTAAAAAAAGAAATTTCAGCGGACCTTGAACGTGCTACTCTTTTGGGGGGGGGGGGGCTCAGGTCGTAGGGTGAGGAAATTTTGAGGTAGGACATAAGAGCATTTACAACAATAACAAATCCGCTCCGCTCCAATTCTTGAACCATCAACATTCGATTAACTTTTCTGCTTCGTCCCAAAATCCTGCAACGATATCGCTCCAAAAACCCGCCTCTCCATTTCTTTTACAATATTTATCATTTTTAATTCAAAACTTATGTAAATTTAATACAAATATTTATTTATTAATAAAAATTCATAAATAATAATAAATAAAATAAAAGTAATATATTCAAAATTAACAAATAAAAAAAATTAAAAAAGGTTTAAAATTTAAAAAAAGAAATAAAAGAAATGGAGGAAGATGAAGGAGATCCGGCAGGAGAAGGAAGAAGAAGGAAAAGAAGAGATCCGGCACAGCAGGCCGCCTGCCGTGGGCGGCCGCAGCGATTTCCCGGCGCAAAACCTGTGCGACTTGGAGCCGCGATTGGGGCAGAGAGCCCGGCGTGCGGGATGACTTGCAGCTGCTGGCGAGCCACGTTTCGCCTTGGGATTCCGTGCGGCGCGGTGCTTGGTAGGAGTGTTCAAAAATATTTGATCCGAAATATCCGTCCACGATTCGGGCAGATCCGATCCGAAAAATGGATATTCGATCCGATATTTTAGCTTTTGGATATTTCGGATCGAATACCCGAAAAAATTGGATCGGATATGGATTCAAATTCTGGTATTTTTTTGGATAATCGAATATCCGTTTTTTTGGCTATATGTTTAATGGAATTTTATGGATATATATTATGGCTATATGTTTAATGCAATTTTATGTTGATTTTGGAACTTAAGCATGCATTTTAGACTTTTTGCATTAGCATTTTGGAACTTTTTGTTTTAGTACTGTTTTTTTTGTTTGTTTAGGCCAAACTACCAAAGTTACTCCCAAAATGAATTCGGTATCATTTTTTTATTATGCCATTACCTAGTGATGAAATTTTTCTTTTAGTAAATCTATATTGAATTTGATAATGTGGGTTGATTTTGCTATTTTACCCTTTTTTCTGTTTTGTAAATTTCGGGTTTGGCTAAAAGGTTAGCTTTTCAGATAATCCAGTGATCCGATCCAAAAATTCGGATATCCGAATTTTGAATATCCAAATACTTTCGAATCGGATATGGAATGAGTTTTACATGATCCGAAACTTTCAGATATCCAAATTTTCGGATCGAATCGAATCGGAACGATCCGATTGAACACCCTTACTGCCAAGTCAATTGTAGCTTGCCAAAGTATTTTAGTATTTTTCTAACCATCAATGATAGCTCTAAGAGCAATGCTGGAGTCACAAACAACTTGAATACAAACTTGCTATTTGTGTATTTAATTTTTATTTTTCAATTATCTTAAATTATTTTATTCACCTTAAAAAGTGTACAAATAATAAGTTTGTAAAATTTGTGTCTTTTTTAGCATAATTTTCCTCACATGTTTTTTTGGCTGAACCTTTCCCCACATGTTCAAAAGGGAAAGGGACATATTAAGAAAGTCACTCAGTCAAGTCCATTTAGAGCATCAACAATGGCAAGACGAAAATGGAATGCCACACGGTGACATGGAACATTTTAACCAATAAAAAATAGTCTAGTCAGTGTGTGACAAGTAAATGGAGTGGCAAGTCCTACAATGGCAAGTCATTATTTTTATCATTTTTTTACATTTTTTTATGTTTTTTAAACATAAAAAAATATTTTTATTATTTATTTTATTAAAAAATTATTCAACTTTCTTGTACATTTTTTACATAAAAAATTTTTTAAAAAATTATTTTAAAAAAAAGAAAAAAAGTAGTATGAAGTGCCACACTCATGCTACTTTCTTGTAGCATTTTAGTCATACCATGCCATGATATGAGTTGAAAAAGTAGATGTGACAGTGCAAGGCATCACTCTTTCTTGCCATTGCACATGCTCTTAGACTATGTAACGCGTACGTAGTATTCTAAATGTGTTTCTTGTTAAAAGAAATATTTAAAGAATAATTTAACCAAAACTTTAGACTTTGTTATAATCAAGACTTTAGACTTTGTTATTTTTTATTCTTCATTATTTTTATATAAAAAAAATACACTTTTGGACTTGGTGTCCCCAATGGTACCCGGCGCATGGCCGAAGAGTCCCCCAAAGTTTTCGTTTCATTTATTTTTATTATTTATTTTTGTTGAATCATACAGAGTAATTTATAATAATGCATCTTTATTGTTATATATATAAAGTTGCATTATTTGTTACGGAGTACTATTATATAAAAAAGATATTTATAATTTCAAAGTAGTACTCCCTCAGTCCATCTGTTTCAAATCAAATTGCACGTTTACTATTCACATGGTCAAATTTGATTACTCCTTTTTTTTCTTATCTTCATTAGTAACTTGATAAAAAAGTATAGTCATGTTACCATAATTTTTGAATATATAAATTTTATTTTTTAATTCTACACCATTTTTCATATAAAGTGATTAAAAAATAATTTCAGTCAAACATCGTAAACCAAAACAAATGATTTAAAATGGGACGTAGGGAGTGCAAAACTAGAATTTCAAAGAAAATATTTTTTAAAAATGTTCCTTTCTAATAAGGTATTTTTTCCAAATTAATCCTCAATAAGAAAGAATTACGAGTATAGTCCTTTATAATTGAGATGCATTCCTTAAATAGCCCTCTACCGAAAATGTCTGTTAAATGATAGTCAAATAGAATGTATTTTGGTATTCTCTATCATCTTGATTTAAGGTATGTTCTCGAAATGTTCCTTTATAATTATGTTTTTTTCCTAACTGATAATTTTTAAGAAATTGTTTTCTCGAAATGGAGTTCGTGAGCCTACTCGGAGTGGGTTCGCTCCTCTAGCAGCCAACCAATTAATTTGAAATGACCATTTGGAGGACGTATTCATAATTTAGCTAGAAGATAGAAAATACAAAAGTATTCTCTATTTAATTGTCATTCAATAGACATTTTTTATTATGGACTATTTAGGAAATACTTCTCAATTATAAATGACTATGTTGGTAATCATTGTTTATTGAAGACCAATTTGGAAAAAACACCTTATTAAAAAAGAACAATTTTGGTAATTTACTATATTTTAAAATTACAAGATTAAACTATCAGCATAAAACTATTAATTTTTTGAGACTTTTCCATCTAATTAATTCAATGCTTTTTAAGATTAAATTTGTTCTTTTTTTTTTCTCATTTTACATCGTCTTTAAAAGAAGAAATTTCAGCGGACCTTGAATGCGCTACTCTTTGGAAGGGGGGCTCAGGTCCGAGGGTGAGAAAATTTGGAGGTAGGACATAAGGGCATTTACAACAATAACAAATCCGC